TGCTCAGTTGTTGCTCACTGCATTTCCTCAGCACCATTCCAGTAAAACAAATGCACAAGCTAATCATCTTAGTCTCCCATTTTGGAAATGTATTTGCAGAACTGCAATCAAGTTCAAGAATTGATTTCTAATTTCTATAGAATTTATTTATATAAGTGTGGTCTGTAACACCAAGAGTGTGGTCAGGACTCAAACATTTCCTCCTCACCAGAAATAAAAATCCCGTTACTAGAATCACAGATCAGCTTTGTCCTCTTTATAGAGTTCATACTCACCTTTCATAACAGTTTCTGAACACAATTGTCAAACTTGTACCAAAAAAAACAACCAGAAGACTGAGGCAGATGGTCAGAACCAGATAACTTTGGAGGAAAAAAAAAAAGCTAGAAACTGCACTGCTGCTTTAGGTAGATCTGTATATAAGTTGAGGAAAGATAGATTACAGCTGTGGAGGCTCTTGTATAACTTACTTGTATAGTATAAACTAAATTCAAATATATTCTTATTTTCTGCTAGTTTCACAGTGCAAATAAATGTATGAAAAGAACATTCTGCACTGACACAAAAGGAGTAAGGCCAATATGGCAGTACACCATTCTCCCTTAAATTTGCTATTTGTGCTATTTTTAGCACTTTTTAAACATAATGTACGCTGACATCATAATTTAGTTTTTCTCTTTTCACAGCAGGGTAGGGTTGTCTGGAACACCACACACTTCCACTGCAGACTTGAAGACAAAGGTGACTGAAACAGGGAGGGGAAAATACAAAGGCTCCCAGGAGAAAACTCTGATGTTTGGTAGGTTTTAAACCAAGGACCTCTTTCTGAATATTCCTTGCATTTTAAACAGGAGGGTTCTTTGTGTATAGGCACTTAAGCCCCACACAACAACGTATTCCCCACTAAACATGATGTCCCTACAGTCACAGATGTCCAACTCCACCTGGATGCAGTCAGTGGTGTGCAGACACATAGGGCTGTGTGCCTGTACATCTCTACCTACCTACATGTATGGTGCAGCCATGCACAGGCAGCTTACATGAGGTAGCCATGCATTATTTATAGGCCTCGTCTCTCATTGCCTCTCTTCCTCCACCTGCCCTGTTGAACTGAGCACTAAAGCAGGAAATAATTGTAGCATGAAGCTGTCGACACACTTCCCGCTCTCCTCCAGCCGAGAGGGGAGAAGTCCTGCGGGGTCAGATAACCCGTCTCGGCATGCCCAGTGGCACACTCTATTTGAAGAAGATGGAATTTGGTAATATGTCCTGGCTTAAACTCTGCAATACTGAGTTTCTTAGGCAGAAACCGACATGCCATTTTAACTCTATGCCTTGGAACATGGAGGACTGCTAAGCTTTTTTCACTCCAGCCAAACTACTCATGTCACGAAACATGTCATGTCATAGTCGCAGTCAACACTTACAACAGCCATTTCATATATTGAAAAATGTTTAGCTTTAGCTGTTAGAAGTGTCAAACAGCAGGAGCTTGCCACCACATCCCAAATACAAGCTCACAACAAGTTCCACCACTCCATAACACCTTACACAAACACCTCTCTCTCTTCTACATTAACAGTGTAGCTTTTTAGCTTTTGCAAATGGGGAAAGCCCTCACCATATTCTCCTCACTGTTATCTGCACATGCTTTGTCCTGTCCTTCTGCATTTGACATTCAAGTAGCAAATAGTGGCAGATTTGCTCTGCAAGTAATTGTGCCAGTTCCAGAACCATCATGACAACTTTATGCAGACAAAATTCTTTAAAGCCATGAAAATGTTCCTTTCTTTCCCCTCTGCTCCCCCTCCCAGTTGCATAAGCTTATTTTTCAACATTTGGCAACAGAACGAAAGCATTAGATCACAAAGGACCAAATCTGTTGTTGTTGTTTTCCTTTTGAGCTTCCCTAATTAGGACTCCAGTTTTTGGAAAGTAAAAGGAAAGAATTGAACTGTAGTACAGAACTACCAATATTAACGAACAAGACACATTTCCAGCTTTTAAAAATATTCTGTTTGAGGCTAAATCAGCATATCTAAAAGTGACCTATTTGGGATAAGTATGTCACCAAGTTCAATATTTAGGTCAGTATTTGTGCAATAATTCCAGTCTGTCCTGAAAACAGGAGTTCTGTTCAGCTCAGAACACACACATACAAGAAAACTAATTCTAATATCTATTCACAAATTCCTTCCAAAAATTTACTGGGGCAGAGCACGAGAGATATCTTGGCTATAATAGATTTCACTGTTAGAATGAATCTGACAACAGAAGTGATGCCCATTTGTAATTAAATTGAAACCAAGCCTCTGCAAACATGCATTCAAATCTTCTTTAGCATACACATATTTATTGCAGGAGTGATGCATTAGGATTTGTCTCATTCTGAAACACCGCTAAAAAAGTCAACATTGCCAATATTCTGTGGGGGTAAAGACTGCAGAGCAAGCATTCTTCGCAAAGTCTCCTTTCAAGATGGAGCTTGTTATTTAAAAGTTGAAATAACATCATCTTCTAGCTCTTTTGAAGAATACAGAAGACAGATATGAATATTTTTTCATAGTTAAAAACTGAACTCAACAATTTTAATGAAATATTTTACCAGGGATTTCCTTCTGCATTAAAATTTATAATTAAAGCTTTCATTACACTAGTAAGTATCAGAACCCTCAGTTTCCAGTAGCACACACTGGGAACATGAAGGACTGCAGAAAAACTACCCCTGAACGTAAGTTAGCACAAATGTTGCTTTCAAAACAAGTGCCATTAAACAACATCTATATTTAAAATACAGTCTTAAATATTCATAACAACTCACAAAGGTGCAAGTACTATATACAAAACCAGAACTAAAGAAGAATCTGTAGGCATCATGTGACCTAGCCCCTAATGAGCAACCAGAAGCTCACTGTTTGAGAGCCATATCATCTCCCTTCCTAAATTTGCTTGCCTTTAGAAACACAGTGCTTTACACAGTATTTTCTTGGTTAGCAGTAATATTTTAACAGTTTTGAACTTGAGTAGTTTCTAAACACCTGAGGCAGAATACCTCATATAAATGTTGGGTTTTTTCCCAGCATGAGAATGTCAGCTTGCCTGAACTACAGAGCTGAAGATGAAACTTTTTCTCATTCACCTATACATGTAAATCAGATGGGTTGCACCTAACACCTAAGCACTTGGACACAAACAGCATCAGCTGGAGGACATTTGAGTTGCTTTTGCAGCATTACTAGTTTACTTGTTTCTATTCTTCAGAAACAGTGTTGCTGTGCAGCACTTCCCACAGGACTGCCTTGCATACTGTCAATGCTTGTCTGTGTTTTTCAGTCTAAGGATAGAAACTCCACACATCAAAAAAGCAATTTTTTTTCCTCAAAGCACGTTTTACCAACTAAAAGAATAGCATAGCAAGTTTCTTCAGTTCTGATAGTCTGAAAAAACACTTGAAACTATGTATTTTCTTTCTACTCTTACATAAGAAAAATGGGAGGTTATCATGAGTGCATGGGGATATGTTCTCATGCTGGCTATCATCCCGATGCTGTTAGTCATTTGGGTGAACCAGAAAGAGAGAAGCACAGCATGGCACAGAACAAGCTTATGCTGCCAGTAATTCAGAGGGGGTTTCTGGCCATTTTTCTCTGCTTCTGAAGTTCATTGTTTTCCACTGTTTTCCTCACTCATTAGATTTGCCTTTCATTTATCTGATGTCAAACCCTCTTGAGATGAAAGGGCACTACTGTCCCAGAGAGAGCCACAAAGCAGCAAGAACTCAAAAACCTGACAGACCGTGGCTCACCGTCTCATAAAACATGCCTTGGGGATTTTTACCTTGAGGCTTAACAGACCTAAGCAGATACGCCTGAACAGCTTCTTTAAAAAGAATTTTAAAACTCACTAGAAAAAAAAACACCTTAAAAGACATTTTAAATGATGCCTGTGTTGGGAGGCGCATTCGTTACTACTCAAAGAAAATCAAACCTCTTAAAAAAGACCACAGCCGAGGCTCTATCACTGGCAATAGGCTGGATAACACATTACTGAAATCTAAAAAGACAAAACAGATCTAGTGTGAATACCTCTAAGTATTACTACATAAAACTAAGTTGCTTTAACATAGTAAAGAGCATGGACAGTCCTATCAAGCATAAAACTAAAGAACAGTTTAGGCCCAACTGGAAAACAAAAGAGAGAATGCTGACAGCACAGCAGAAGAACTCACATGGTAAAAAAATATGAAAATATAATGGTTCAAGATATGCCAGTTACTTTGGAGAGGATTTATCAAAAAGGTAGCAGGGATTAAGAGAGAAAATAGGTAACTGCAAAAACAACCTTTCAACAACACAAAGTGGAACTGAAGAGTCAAATGAAATAATGCAGGTCCTAAATTCTCATAATTAATTGTGCTTTAAGTACAGTATAAAATTTGCTTTACAAAGATTTTAGTTAGTAACCTTTTTTCACTGACAGAAAATTATTGCTTATAGGTTATTAAAAAAAACCCCAGTTATAAACCTAAAGAGATTCAGCAACATTTCTAAGCAGGAAAAAAATTCTTAATTCTAGCAATTTAATATTTAGGTTCTGTGTAAGGAATGACTTTAAAAAAAATCTGACACTATTTTAGGTTTTAATAACACTGAAGTAAAGCTTTTTAAACTGAAATTCTGACAGTTATATTTATCATCCTTTTTGTTCTAATGATCTCACTAGATCCATCCAGCTGGGAGAAGAGGGAAGAAGTTCAGGACAGCACTTTGCTTACACAACCATGGTAGAAAGAAGTCTCAGTGTAAATGCAGAAAAATTCACCTCCCTACTGTTGTTACCAAGAGCTCTCAAATTGAGTAATTTTGTGCAACACTAACAGCAGCAACAGCAGTTCATGACAGTCAACCCAGAAGAGGGAATGTAAAGCTGCATGGAGAAGACTGAACTGGGGGGAAACTCTATGAACATCCCTTTCAGGAAGGAGACAGGACTGTTCTCACCTTTGATGCTTGTCGCAGCCATCGCAGATATTCAGTGAAGTTATCAAAACAAATGTAGTAGGTCTGGCTTTGAGGTCCAGAGGAGCTAAATGCTAAACAGTGCTGGTGCTTTTTCACTTCTTCCACCTACAGCAGAAACACAAAACTGTTAGTCAACAATAATCAAAAGCCTCTTTGCAGAACTGCCCAGGGCAAAGTTAAAGTGTGCCCAAGAAGAGCTCATCAAGTAGAGCTGGACTAACCATCTCAAACACTCAAGCTGGATCTCGGCTGTCAAATCTTCACAAATCTACACAGGCAAGAAACGAGAACAGAAGGACAACGAAACTAAAGGAGAAAACCACCAAGAACGTCAACATTTTAATAGAGACTGAACACCATAAAAGGTTGGCCAGTGAAACACATCTAAGGCTGTTTTTATGCAACCTAAAAAAAATACAATTTATAGTTCTGGTTATTAAAAACAAGCTTAACAAAATGCTTCTCTTACAGCCCAATTAAATTCTTTGGCATTTCTCAACTTGCTAAAAAACACCCAGAATACATCATTCTGCTACCATACACGAGAAGTCCCACACAACTTATGGTCTTCATGTCTCAGCACAGCATTCTGGAAAGCCTTTGCAAACCAGGAAGTGTAGAGTATTTATGGGGTTGAGGAAGAATATTTTTTGAGCAATAATTTAAAAAACACTTAGTTCTGTGCCAAGCATCCTCCTCCCAAGCTTTGTCAGCAGAAGCCCTCAGTACATTTTTCTGAGCTTAATTATCCTTTTCTTTTAAAATTTGTTGTCAACTTTCTCCTTAACAGTCTGCATGTTTTACATCACATAAGGTATTTCTGTGCAAAAGCAACTTAGAAATTCCATGTTAAGCAATTAAAAAGAGTACACAACCTTTTCCCTTTTCAAATTCAAAAATATATATATTTTCCATCGCAAAGGGAGGGCCAATGGCAACCTGAATCCCGTCCTCTCCAGCATCCTACGGTCAGGAATACAATTCACTGTCAGGAGTTCACACACTTGCTAAAAGAGGACAATGTCTCTGCTTCATTATCTCCAGGGAAGAGTTGAAGAATCATGTGAAGAATCATGAAAGGAGACAGGAAAAACAGCTCTTAGAAGGCAGCACTACTTTTCACATTGCTAGTATGGAATATTAATAAATCAACTCTAGTCTGCATACATAATATTGTGAAGCTTGTTCCTCTCCCAATAACTCTTCAGAATTCAACTTATCTTTATGTGAAGTAAAGGAAGATTACTTCAGGTGTAAATTAATCCTCAAGCTAATGATTCTCTTCCCAATTACCTTGGCTAAACAAGCCAAATAGTAGTGTCCTGAAACACTGTTTACGTTGAAATAGTAATGTAATCTTACTGTCTTCACTACAGTTTCACAGCATCACAGCATGGTTAAGGTGGGATCTGTAGAGGTCCTCTGCTCAAGCAGGGCCACCTACAGACAGTTGCCCATCCGGTTTTTAAATATCTCCAGGGGTCATGAAGAATTCATCACCCCTCTGGGTAACCTGTGTCAGTACTCAGTCACTGTCAGAGTGAAAAAAAATTTCCTTTTGTTCATTTGGGAACTCCTGGGTTTCAGATGTAATCAATCAGAAAAAAGTCCAGTTTCAGCTTTTCACAAGTAAAAATGTTTGTTGCTGTCAGCTTACAACACACCAGTACTCATACAGTGCTGAACACTCAAAACTCCCCAACGTTCAAAATAAGCCCGCACTCTTACTGGTTAATTTTCAGACCTTAAGAGTAATGCAGCATGGATAAAACTTGGATGAAGAGGTGTGGCATAGATCATACACAACAGAGCTGCATGTATCCTTTAGCTGTGTGCTATTGCACATATAAAACACCTAACATTGCACACAAGAAAAAGAAATTGATTGTGCATCCATTACTTCATTGCTTTAATTCAAACATCCAAAATTGTTGAATATGACTGACCATAATCAAAAGCCATTCATATACTTTGAAAATCCCATTCACAGAAACAAGCTTTTGAGGGGTCAGAATAATCCTAATTGAATTCAATCTTCTCTGCGTAAAGAGATAGGGGTTAACAAAGCAAATACATAAAATAAAATATCTTACTTTTCCACCAATTAAAGGGAGGACATGCATCTTTCCAGTCTGGCTTTCTTTTACTGATGAGACAATTAGGCATGTTCCACAAAGGATAGCTTGGCGTCTTGTCCATCTGTTGACTGGCAAATGTATTTTCCCTTTTCGAACATTGTACATTCCTGAGAGCTGAATCCGTTCGGAGCTGCCAATGCTGTGGGGCTTTCCTGAAATAGAAACAAAAGCAACCACTTAATCACAGAAAATCTTTGCCTCTTTCACTTCAAGTCATCCTGAGACTTTATCAGCAAATTTTCAGGTTACAAACTGCAGTGTAACAAATGAAACACAGCTTCAAAACCATGCAAGCAGGTAATTTAATATCAGCTTCAGTACAGACTTCTTTCAGAGGGAGAGGTATATGACAGGTTGGTATCATGAAGAGTAGATCATATTAAATAATCTGCAATAGTCACAGAAGTACCAATTAATGGTACCGGTCTTCTCTATGGAGAGAAATTAAATGTTCATCCACAACAGTAAGTAATTGGTTACTGCTGAGTTCACATTGCCTGCTTGGTAACTGCAGAAGAGGGTGATGTACTGCATGCTGAACTGTATCTTTTCACTTCCATGTCTCTTCTGGCTATACTTCAGGTTATGGTTTGAATAGCTTCAATAGCCTCCCAAAGAATTCAGTTCCTACTTTCCCCAGTCCACCCCGCTCAGTCCAAACCCCACAGCAGAGGTTGTACACTCAGCCACAATGTAAGCAGGTGCAACCTAGATGAAACCCTCAAAGACCCTGCTTTGGTCTGAGTAGAGCTTCAGAAAGTGTGAAGTTCTTTTGTCTGTATTACAATTAATTTACTATTTATAATAATTTAGATTATTAGCATAACTACCAATTAGGCCAAATCTGTTAAATTACTTAAAATGTCTCAGACTCTACTAATCTAATCTATTAATAAGATTCTATTCTATAGAAAAGCATCATGAGCAATGGCAACACAAAGACAAGTATCTCTCATCTCTGCTCTAACAGAACCATGTTCTTTTAGGATGTAAACAGGAAGAAGCATAATTTACTCATTCTTATCTGAGGTATTTATCTATATCAGCTTACTCTATCAAACCCTAAACAGTCCAGCCCAGATCTGAATCATCCAAATACACTAAGTCTTTTGCAAACAGAGTCAAGAGCTAATCACGTTCAGGTTAAACCAGTTCAAATTTATGTACGAACACTGGTGTTGGTGAAACTTGCGGAGGTATCTCCCCTGGATAAACAAACTAAAGGCTATGTTAATTCCAAGTAGCTTCCCCATCACGATAAAAGATAAATCACCCATTTTCTTCCACTAGCGCTTACCAAAATTCTTAAATACACAGAATTAATAACTAGTTAGGATTCCAGAAAAGCAGAGTTGATCCTATCTTCTAACGCTGGTATTTCAGACCAGTGCCAGCTGAACTCCAGCAGTGACAAGCACTGCACACTATTACTTCAACTTGCTATTATTCCTGCTTGCATGACAGCTCATTTGTCTCAATGAGTCTGCTCTTGCCTTCAAATTATCTACGGAAAGATAGAAGACACCTACCACATGCCCTACCCACTGCCATTCTCTCACCCCCGCTTAGCCTGCGCCAATTTTTGTCCTTATCTTTAAAAGCAGCCTTCATGAATCTTCCTGCCAATTTAATGAGCTAACACTTGGCATAGTTACCCTCAAGCCTTGCTCTGCTCTAATAAACACTAGCATTTAGGCTACCGAAGTCTGCCGGTTTGGATCTGCAGGAACATTGCTGTTGCTTGAAGCTGAAAGACAAACTTTAATGCCCACAAGGTATCAACATCAAATACAAAAAGAGGTGCTCCAAGAAAGCAGTAATTTCATTGCCAAGCAAATTCATATCCAACCACAGGAGCTGTGGAAAAACTCTTTGCCCAACAGAATAGAGGGAAGTAGGGGACATCCATTCTGCAAAGCTACAAGATGACTGATAGGGAACACAAGTGAGTAAATTAGAGCAACTCAGCCTTAACAAATACAAAAGCTGAATCAAACATTACATTTGGAATATGAAACATTTGGTTCTTAACGTAACTGATAATTTAAGTAGCTTGTGCAGAACAACGGGTTTCATGCCGTAGAGCACTGATTAAAGAATTAACCACACAGACACAATCAAATCTCTGTAATGAAGTAAAACGTGCCTGGTAAATATTAATAGCACGGTTGTACAAGGAATAGTTGTCAGGGGTGTGGGCAGTTTCACCTCAAAAATTATGTTTTATGATCATCTTCCAGGGTCTGTTTCTGACTGTGCTAACTTCACTGGAAAAGCACAACCCACTGCTGACTGAATCCCTTAGGACTGCAAGGCATAATCTCGATCCATTGGGAAGACAAGCTCATTTAGCATTTCACCACAGCCTAATGCAACTTTACCCATCCAGGAACAAAGGGCATAATTTGCACTTAATATGGGCAGAACTGTGTCCTGGAAAACACCAAAGCTCCAAAGTTCTTCAGGATTGTGGTGGATAGCAGAGTACAAGCTCCAGCTGCAGCACAGTAACCAAGAGGTTTGGTAGGAAACACAACGGCATTCTGGAGCAACTGAGAAGTACCATTACCCTGCCTAGTCTAGTGGTAAAACAACTACCACACTGGGTACTCACACTTCACAAAGGGTGCTGAGAAATTAATCTTGGAAAAAAGTTACAGGGGAAAAAGTCAGATGCCTGAGCAACCTGCTTTCTAGGACCAGACTCTTGAACTAGCTACATGAAGTTAGGCACAGCTGGACCTGTAAAACTACACAAGAGTCTCTAAAAGGCAGTTCTTAAAATTTCATATAAATTCACAGAGGTTGTAAATCACAGTAACAATTATTATCATTAGTAAAGGTTTACTAGAAAAGCCAGAACAGAGCTATCACTAGAAGTAATCATGAGTTTTCTCTCAAACTTCATATTTGATTGGAAAATTACTGGGATAAGAACCTATAGTTATTCCCACAGATACCAAAAAAAAATTTTAAAAAAATTAAATAACTCCTTTAAATTCAAAGGAACCCTTCGAAGGATTTAAGGTGCTTTTTCCCAGAAAGTACTACACTTTGCTAAGTGAAAGCCAGAAGGTTCTTGATGAGAACATACTGGGATATATATACATAAAATACTGGGCCTATTTCATTAAAGCAAATGGCTTCTCTTTTCCTATTCTTGTCTACTTCGCTACATAACCAACCATCTGGTTGGACCAGATGATCTTTCAAGGTCCCTTCCAACCTATGCTCTTCCATGATTCTATAACTTGAAAAGCTCATGTTTAATATTGGATCACATGTTGTTGCCTGAGACGCAATCTGCTCACATATTCAGTTTTCTTCCTGCTAAAGGGTTGTAATAATTGGTATTTGATAGTATCATAGTGTTCCATTATCATGCAAGTGTGGGGGGGAAGAGTCAAAAGCCATTGGCTTATTTTGATTCTAAGCAGAGGTTATTCAAGGACATTCCAACTAATTGCGGAACCAGATTCCTAAATCTGTAGAAGTTTTGCAGGTAACTATGCACAAAAGCTGTTTGAAAAGCAGCAGCCTTGCCTACTGAAAAATACGCTTGGACAGACTGCAGCTTTAAAGAGCTCGGATATTTGCTGCCAAGTGAGCATAAAAGCAGGAAAAGTTTAAATGACAGCAAGCTCTGTCACAGCAGAAGTGGGATAGGACTTGGAAAGTGTGAAGCAATCTAAGGCTGGTTGTTCCTCACTTCACGGAGGAAAGCAGCAGGTGGCAGAGTCTCCTGCAAGAGGGCTCATCCCTGACAGGCTGGGAAGTGGAGGACATGGGAAGGGCTCAGAACTGCACCTGCCTTTTCTATGACCTGGAAAATACTCAAATGAGAAGGCAAATGACCTTCTTCTTCCAAGTGTACAAGAGAGATGAGGGGCAATCTGGACTACACCAGAATTCCTTTAGGCTAAGAATCAAACACCACAAATTATTGCATAACTACAGCATCACCACCAAAAATCAGCTGTTTTTGAGGTAACCTGCCAGTGCCAGCACTGTTTCCAGTAAAAGCATCAGCAGTTCTGAAATTATGTTCCTCAAATCTGCCTTACAGACCTCCCATTCAAGATTTAGAAGGTTGCATGAGATTCACATTCAGGTTTTTCTTCAGTTTTAACTAACCCTGAAGGAAGCAGATGAGTTTTCACAGGGGCCTGTGATCATAGTGCAGATAAAACGGTAATGATGATCCTTTGTGACTTGAAACAAATTTGAATCCTGCCAAAAACTTCAAATGTAATTATTGCTGCACTGATCAGAGTGGAAGCAAATATGCCAGAACATCTAGAAGAGTTGCATACCAGAAAATGTTTTTCGAACACTAAGCCCAACCAGAGTAGTTTGAGTATTTTAGCAAGAAACCATAAAAAGATTATTTTTCATTTCTGTCAGGTCGCCAAGACTACAGCAACTCCTAAGCACCCCCACAACAGAACTTTTGTTCTGTGTGAGGCATTAGAGGAGATGCCTCAAGGAATTATAAGCTGACCACTCATTTGGCTATCTTGATATTCATGGTTGAATTCCTCTCAGTTTTTCTTGTCTCGAGTCCTGGAGGGAAACTAGTAGTACTCACAACAAGGACAAAAAAAACCAAGGAATTTGACGGAAACAGCAGAACTGTCACTGGAACCACAAAACTTACCCTGCTTCATAGGAAGCACGGATGGGACACGAGTGATCTTTCCACAATGTTAAAGAACTAAGACCTCACCACGAGCAGCCTGAGGAAGCTCCAGGTATGCAACATACAGACATCCCGCCTAGTGCAAAGACTTAAAACCTTATTAAATGAATATCCACAGCCACTTGCTTTGGGTTCTGGAGTAAAGCCCTTTATCCCAGCAATGGAAGACATATGGAACACATTACCATCAGAAGTTATAAAATACCAGCTCATTATGGGACATAAAAGTACTCAGGGAGAAAAAAAAAGCCTCTCTGCAGCTCTACGGCTGATTAAGTTGCAAGTACTCATTATTCCCCCGTTTAAAAAGTACAGCCAGTAAAGTCTGCCTCTAAAGAACAACTTAAGACATTACCAAAGTAAGAGCAGGGAAAAGTGTTGACAAAAGAAACATGTTCACTTCTGTGCAGCGGGTCTTATTTTTATTACTAATATTGGTTTGATGGAATGAAA